GAAGAAATGACACTGATACTTTACCACTCACCAGATTTTTCTTTTCTTTAGTTTCTAATCCATTTAGTTGCAGTTACCTGATATTCACTCAGTGGTAATAAAACCAAAGCTTGCTAGAGATTGCCCTCTTGTGGTTATATTCTACAATGCAACAAGTCTGAACTTCAACAACAGAGTAATGGCAGATTGATAAATTAAGTACACTTTTCCAACTTGATTGGAGTCTAGATCAGAAAAAGAAACTCTAAAAGACTTGAAAAAGATCAATTGCATTTCAGAAGAAAGAACATTTACTACTGTGATCGTGTTCACAAAGATCAGACATAAATCTGCCCATGCTATCCAAGAGGGTCTGGCAATGTTCACTCTGAAGGTCCCACAACTACACGATGAAGGGGAATTACCAAGACACCACCATTTAGATAATACCAACTGTGATAAATCAATCAATTTAAATTCAAGATTATGAATTTAAGAATTGTAATCTGAGAAAGGTTAACATCAAACATTATGCAAATTGATATCATCCTCTAGTAAGGAGGAAGATACACCTCCCAAACTTTACACTTTACTGAGGGAGTCCCACCTTTGGCTTTCTGGTGTGGAATAAGATGGCAGATTTATTGAATACCTGTCTGCCTCCTTATACTGGGCAGACAATGACTGGCACAAGCCCAACATAAAACTAATGAAATAAAATAACTGACAATCTTTTAACCTTTGACATGCAGGCAAAAGAATCCGAATAAAAGCTGTTATTTCATGTGATACAGTGGGTTTGATCTGTTTGTCAGTTTTTTTGTCATCTTCTTTTATACACAAATATTTATGACATTAGTTTAATGAAGTATATCAATTATAATTAAAATAACTAAAATTGAATGGGATATAGAGTAGGCCTATAATATTTCCCCCTGACCTGCAGTAGAATACAACCAGAAAGTCTTATTAAATGCAATTATTTCAGGAAAGTGATGACACCTTAAACCTATGCTTTACTATGAGGACCAACGGCATACATGAGAAGAGTTATACTAGTCCTGGTATTTATTTCAACAGACATTTGCCTTCACTGGCTGGACCCTAGTCTGACTCCCTGAAGGTGCTGGAGATGTAGGAGATGGGTTGGGTCACTGGAGAGGTTGTCCCTTTGACACTTGGCTCTTATCTCTTGTTTCTTGTTGTTCACCTGCGGTGTTGTGCTGAGCTGACTGGCGGTTCACCTGTTTTACTGCCTTGTCCCTCTCCAATGTCACCAACACGGTCTGCTTTAGAACTGCTTGATATTTTTCATTCATTCGCTTTACTGCGGGCTCGTAGCTGTTACATTGAACCTTGAGTTTTTTCATCTCCTCGATGAGCCTGTTCTTTTCCTGGACAACACGCTTATGCTGCAGCCGATGGAGGTCTCTGGCTTTCTGGACCCTCACTAGGGTCTCAGCCGCAGTAGAGGCTGCTCGCCTGTACTCCTCCCTCTCCCGCTGTGCGTTTTTCAGCTCGCTTTCCAGGCGCTGGTTGTCAGTGTACACGTCCGGTACCACACCGACCCGCTCTGCATCTACCAGTCCTTTCTGCACCATCTCGGTCCACTCAGTCTGAAAACAGTCAAGTGTTTCTGTCATCCCCGTTTGGATGAGGAAGTTGCGTAAAAAGTCATCCACAGCTTTAGGTTGGTGTGTGCTGCGGGTTGCGTTTGGCCCGGGAGCAGCCTGAGCACTGGCCTCTGCCCGGTTTTGGATAGCTTTTACCGTCGCTTCCAAGTCTTCTTCTCCTTCTGTTAAACTCCCGTCGTCTTCTAGATACACTTCTTCATATTTAAAGTCATCGTCACAGTCACTGGGAGCTCTCGCGTCCTCTTCTTCTCGATTTTTGTTTGTTGCACTCATTGTTTAATTTGACACATCCAGCGAGAGAGAGAGTTTGGCGTAACCATGGTGACGATTTGGACGTTCAACGCGAGATTTCACTAGTTCACGTTTGCCCTAGCATTCTTGCCGTCATCAAACAATCATGGCGGACTACCGAGAGGCGCCCTTGGCCACTCGTCCAAAAACATTGGATCCAAATGAATATTTCAACCTTTCGCCGGATCAAAGACGTACCGAAGAAGACAGGGCAGCACTACGAGCGAATCTGAAGAGGCAGTATCAGACGCAACTCAATAACCCGCTCAGGAAAGAGCTCATTGTAAGTGGCTGCCTGCTAGCTAGCAATGTCACCCTTGAAAAGGGTTCAGGCTACTTGCTGAGATGCTAACGGTAGCATGTCAGGGGCACAGAGCAGTCGCATAAACCAAAATTTATTAAGCACAGTGTTCACATTTATTTGTCCGCATTTCTGTGTTGATGTGCGAGGCTGTATGCCAGAAATGACGTCCGCAACGATCTTTATTTTGGCTTGTGAATAACGTTAGCTAGCTAACACAGTGATTGAAAACGCTGTCAGACTTCATAAATGCCTCATTCAAGCTTCGGCTACTCTGACATCTGACGGCTGTAACACCTAGCTAGTATAAAGACTGTAGACCCAGTTTTAAGGTGAACTGCAGTGTACAGTAAATTCGAAACGCCAGTTATCTTTCTGTGGTAATCTATGTTATATTGTGGGAAAGTCTACATCTTATCTGAAATGATAAGCTGCAATATTCCTAGCACTAGACATGATTTGAAATGGTAGTGATGGTATTTGGTACATTTCCAGCTCCTAAAACCCTGCAAGTTAGCCCACTTTTTATCAACATTCATATTGTCAAAATGTGTGCATCTACCACCAACACCGTTACACTAAGCCTGTAACTGTTACATTTAATATTAACTCAATATTATGTACTTGATTTATCTAATGTTGGCATTTTGTTTCTTCATATAGTGTAATTCTGCTTCTGTCTACCCTGTACTTTTGCATGTCTGTACATAAACAATTCTCACAGCAGAAATTTTGACTTGTCACAGTCAATTTACCTGAGTCAGGACAGGAGACCCTGACAGTTTTGTATTATTATGACAACATACTGTTTTTTACTTTGTAGTTTGTGTTGTATGTATGTTGTAAATAATTCTTTGACTCTTGACTTTTTCCCACGGCAAAAAATCGGTTTACGCAGATCATTGAAATGTCATTGCATACCTTTGTCTTTACAGGAAGACCCTGCACTGACACGCTGGGTGTATGCACGCGCCAACCCCTACTTATACTTCAAGCCCTCTTACAAGACATCACTGTTGGGTGCGATGTTTGGAGTTGTGCCTCTCTTTGTCCTCTACTACGTCTTCAAGACTGACAGGGTATGAGACAAGATGCAGTGAACATCTTTTGCTTGATTATCACATTGTTTAATAACTGGCATGACTCACCCGTGACTCCTTAAAGGTGCTATAAGTAATGTTTTTGCTATCGCTCCATAGCCAATGGTAGCTTTAACAGCTGTTAAATTACCAGTCTAGAAGAAATGTTGCAAGTTCAGCATCAAACATCATTCCTTTACTCACTAAGAGCTGTCTCCAGCAGTGGAAAGCAACATCAATGTTGACTCTTGTTTTGCTTCTATTTCAATCATTTCTTTTCTTCTACTGAAGTTAGCATGCTATTCAGCTAGCCTCAGCCCATCCCTTCGTGTAATAATAATTTGCGAGAGTGGGTCACTGTAAAGTCCAGTCTGCTCTTAATTTAGCATGGGAGGATGAAGTAGCGCTGCTCAGAGGGTATATTTTACCCTCTTGTCTCGTAAACATAACAATGGCTGAAGCACGTTCAGCAGCAGAGGAAGCATACATATAGCATCTTTAGGAAGCAGGTTTAATAATTACACCATATTTTTTTGCTGTGTCCTACAGATACAGTGGCACATGTTAATATTTGTATCCAGAAGAAAACATAAATCAATTGTGGGCACAACACTTAAAATATTTATGGTTTAAGGAACCACTTACTCACAGGTTTGGTCCCACTGACCGTTTTTAGGCTATATAAAAAGCAAGTGACAGAACAGATCTGAAGTTGAATATACACAAATGTAAAAAAAGAAAAAAAAAAGACAAGAATATATGCCAGCGCATTGTTGAGATTAAAGTCCTTTCTCTCAGGGGCACCATTGTTCCGCAGGCATCTGAATTTTACTTCCATTCCCTACTGCTATCTTCTTTTCAGTGCATCTATTTGCCGTAATATTTATGATACTCAAAACAAAACTGGTGGTCAAATCATCAATGATTTTACTTGACATGAAGCAGTGAACAACATAGTATTGAGATCATTTTAACATGTTACAGCACTAATATCAGTTTTATTAGCTAATCTGATACACTGATAATACCATTTACAAGAATATTTTTGTCTAAAATAAACCTTAAATGTGATACTTGGACATGAATGGCATCATAGACATCTGAAAAGCTTTTTAGTTGTGGTTTGGGACTCATTTCTGTGTAGGCGCACAGTTCATCTGGTTTTCTTTTTTGTCACAGTTCCAGTCACATTAGAAATAAGTGCTTCATTTGAAATGCTGCCTTCTTTCATTTTCCTCCCCATTGTCATGGAGATTCACCCTCTAAACCCTCGCCAATAGAAATTCCAGCAAGAATTTGGTGCAATTGTCACACTGCTGGGCGATCGTATTCGTCTCCCTCTCTCCGCTGGGAGGGAGAAAAACTGCTTGAAAATCATAAAGCACTCACTCATAAAACATGCGGTTGAGAAAAATGTCCAGAAGGTGAGGTGAGGGTGATATGACTTTGTTGCTATGGAAACTGTACTAACCCATCATCTGTTTGTCATCTGTTTTTACAGAATAGGAAGGAGGAGCAGATTAAGGCTGGAACCCTTGCGCGCAAATTCAGTTTGTCATCATGAGCTTCGATGTATAAAGACCTCCTGTATGTTGTAGTGATGATGCCAGTGCGTGTAATTATTATTAACCGAATAAAATTATATTGTCAAAAACAACTGTGTGGCATTTGATTGCTGAGGCAAAAGTGTGAGTGATAGGAAAAAGACACATGGGATTGTGAATGTGTGCACAATTTATGTTTTCACAAAACAGGGTAATGCACACACACACACACACACACGGTGTTAGAGCAACATATTTGTTGCTGATCGTAAGCTCACAAGCTAAAGTCCTTGCCAAATCGATAAAAAATATGCACAGAGAAAGTAAAGATACATTTGTGTTAATCATTAGTGACCATTGAGATATATATAGATATTTAAATACCCCATGAAATAATCTGTTTGCCATTTGAAAATGATGTTCTTCCTGTTAAAACAATATGTTTGGGCAGCAGTAAGGGATTGCTCTGAAGTGTAAGCAGATTAAATATCAGAACTACGTAAAAAAAATATGTGATAACTTAATTGGTTACATTATGTTCACACCTTTTAGTAAAGCATGAGGTCAGAATTTAAAGCAAGACCTTTTACCTTTTTCTCAACAACTATTGTGGCTACAAATGAAAATTAAGGCATAATGGTAGTGAAAACTGGCACTAGGAGAGAGAAGTAATCAAGGCAGTGAAATGACTCAGTGACGTTTGCCCTACAAGAATGTACAGTATACAGCAAACCTGCGTACACCCCTCATTATCATTAAAATGTTTACTACCAATCCTTTCCAGTTAATGTAATTTTATTTGTTTTTAGCAAAAGCCCAAGAAGATTTGGAAAAGAACCAACTGCAACAAAACTCAGTACCCTTCATTAGTAAGAATCATTTTTATCTCTCTACTTATTCTGTATGTCTGCCTTTATTTTTGATGACAGGTTCATTCTTACTGGATGATACCACAAATCTGGAAAGATTTTCTGCCATTTTTCACAAATGATTCTTTCTAGCTGCTCTTTGTTGGAAAAGGTTTTGTTGCTCTACCTTATTTAAAACACTCCTAAGGTGTTCTGTTTTATTGGATTCAAGTCAGGGGAAATACCTGGCCAGGTCATAGGTTTGCAGTGTGTTTGAGATCATTGTCACATTGGAAAATTCCTCCTGCCAAACTGAGAGTCATCTTTTCATTCAATATTTGGGTGAACAAACTTGTATTCATTGTGAATCTATCAATGCATCTAAACTGTTTGTTTTTAATTATACATAAGATTAAATACCATACACTTAAACTTAAAAATAATACAATTATTGTAAAAAGGCACAGTTTTGAATCATTGAACATTTTAGTGATATTACTAAGGGGTGTACTCAGTATTGCTGTGTACTGTACATCTAAGGCTTGTTAACACTGGCCACTATAAAGTACTGGTCATACCAGACCATTGTATCAGCAATGACTGTGTTGAACTGAAAGGAGTTGGCTTTTATTTCTCATGACTTTGCCTTTTTATTTGTAAGAAGAATGTGTTATGTCTTCTTTAAAAAATTACACAGCCTCACTTTAAAATTCATTTTTCCAGTAAACAAAGGCGTGCTGATGTCTGTAATCTACAAACTGTTCAAAGTAAAGGAGGCACACAAAATGCACATGTAAGGCATGACTGACCTGTGCAGTTACATGTACAGAAACAATTTATGCAGCCTAGCTGTGATTTTTATTTCTAACATGACAAATAGCAAGTTTTTTTTTTTTTTATTGTGTGATTCCAATCATAGTTGTCTGTATGAAATAAACGCCTAAATTTCATGGCATACTTCATTCCTTCTGTATTTTCAGTCAACACACCTAATCAAAAAATACAAAGAAAGCCAAGTTGCACTAAAATTGGATTGCTGGTAGTTACATTGAAGAAAGTGAAATTAGGACTTTTATCTTCATATGACAACTGTACTTGGTTAAAATTATTTATAAGTCACTTTGTCTGTTTACTTTTTGCTGGGCTTCCAGTTCGGGTTAAAGTGGCTGCGGAGAGGTTCCCAGCACTGGTAGTAGCTCTTGTCGAGCCTCTGACATGTCTGTAGACCCCACTTGGTCACTGCCATACTGAAGGATGACTCAAACATAAAAGCCTGAAGTAGGGAAATGACACAAAACAGATATAATATCTCATTGTGTTCTGCAAAATCAAAATTCTTAATGACTAATTAATTATTTTTTACCATGGTGCCCTCAGCCACCCTCTCAGGTTTCAGCTCAGCAGTGCTGTTCTTCTCAAAGCAGTCAACGTCCGGACCATGTGGGGTCATTATGCTGTGGAGGCTGGCCCCTCCCGGCTGGAAACCCTCCTCTTTGGCTTCGTAGTGGCCTTTGATCAGACCCATGAACTCACTCATGCAGTTACCTAAAGTCACAAGCAGGAGAAGCTGTAACACAACGCTGCGCTGGGGACAGTTTGCTGTACAAAGACCAAGTTGTAACAATGAGCTCCACTAGATGGCCTTATAGATATGTGGTAAAAACAGACAAAAGGTGCTATGGTGGGTCCTCAGTTGTAAAAAGTCATACAGCAGGTGGAGAGTTATCACCTTCCATCTTGACACTGGTTGAGTAAATGAACACGTTAGGTTATGGCTGATTTTTTTTTTTTTTTCATTCTAAATTACCCTCACTAGGCAGAATTTGACCATTAGAATTAAAATTCAGTCACATTCTCATAACCAAGCTCCCAAAATTTTTAAGTCTTATTCTCTTTCTTTTCAAAATGTGGACAAGCCACTTTAGAGTTGAAGCATGTATGTGTGTTTCTATGGTCTTACGGTGATAGTACGGTGGACGGAAGGTGTGATCAGCCACACCCCACCGTGGGGGGAAGATGACAAAATCAGCAATAGCCACACCGGGTCGTGTGGATTTGGCCGTCAGCACAGTGAAGATAGATGGATCCTATAGGAAGATTATAAAGATAACAATATGTGATATTTGAGGGTTTTCTTATGGGGCTTGAATCTGTTCACTTCAATGGCATAAATAGCAAGAAATTAAGGGAGAAAATAATACAATAATCAATATGTATATTGAAAAGCACTGTGAGTGTGTCTGTGTTCTTAAACATGACTCTCACCGCATGGTCGAATGCCACACAGTTGATAACCATGAAGTTCTTCAGGTTGTATTTGTAAGGTGTGTAGTTCCCGTGCCAGGCAACCACATTGAACGGAGAAAAATCCTACGTGCAGAGCACAGAACAAAACAAATAAGACGAGTCTACCCAAGCTACAAACACAAAAGACTTTAAATTGAGCTTTTCACAGGGAAAGGGGAACAATGAATAATGTCTTTGTAATCTTAAATTCCCAGAGAGAGTACTTCTTGACATAAAGAGAAAAAAACTGGTCATAATGAAAAGGGTTGATTGTGAAAAAAGGGTGTGCTTCTTTCATTCTTTCTTCTCTTTCATTCCCCCTGTTCTTTGTGATACGAGGCTCCAGGTATTATGGGGTAATTGGCTTCACAATCAAACTTTCCCAAACTTTGAGCATTTTGACGCTCGCAGCAGCGCAGTTATGGGGGGAGCAGCAGTAACAGTGGGTGCAGAGATATTTCTTTATCTTGATTGTTAAAACCAGTGCAATTTTATATAGCTTCTCTGTTCTGATAATGTCACTGCGAAAAAGACATTCAACAGGAGCTCTAAAATCAATACAGTTCATTACAACTCAAGCTGCCTCCTGAGTGACCTTTAAGCTCCTTACACACACGCATCACTTACACACATGAACACCTAATACACACTGACAAAAAAATCCTCACACACATATTCATACGTACACCTGTGCATAAGTAAATTCACACATATAACCAATAAACAGCACACACAACCTAACACACTCAATTTACAGTTGCCATTCAAAAAGGTCTTTGGGGAACCCATTGCAGGTAATTTCTTGGACATTCATCTGCGGTAACTCCACTACATTCGATTAAAATGAAGGGAAAAAATGGAGGAGAGCAAGCACTTGCACACACATGCACACAAAACACAAACATATTGGCCCAGTCAAGCAAATAATAAGTTAATTTGAGCAATTTCAGCGCTCTGCAGGGGAACAAAACAGCAGGACCAGACGGGAGCAGCAGCATCTTCCCCCGAGATGAGGCTCGCGTCCTTATTTTCTTACCCCTGTAGCCTCACCCTCCAGGCTCAGGGAAGGGTGGACACCAGGAAAAGCGTGTCAGGTGCAGCCCACAGCTTCCACCTCTAACTTCCAGCACATAACAAGGGGCAGATACTCAAGTAGAGGCAGCCAGAGAGGTGAAAAGTGTTTGTTTTGCTACAAAAAAGACAGTATCTCACCCTTGTGTACTTCCTACGATGAATAATAATAGTGTGGTTTGACATGGTTTCCACGGTTACAACCCCTCAACCCCCGCCCCTGACAAACCTCTCCTCCCACCTCCTCCCTGTCTCGGTAAAAAACCTCCTGTCAGACATTATGTGTCGATCCAATTATGCGCCTAACAGGACATTTCTTGAGGGGGAGGATCATTCCCCGAGTGAAATATGGTGAAATTAATGCTTAACTTGTGAAAGGTTTTTCCTACAAAGCAAAGCTTCACGGGTACACTGTCTGTAACGCCAGAATGCCTTAACTAATTATGAGTGATTAAGACTCATAAGGGAGTCGAGGCGGAAACCTGCTGAATGGATAACAGCTAACACTTCCATATTAAATCATCAGGGATGGCAATTCAATCGGTAGGAGCAGCTAATGGATCATATGCTTCACTTGGACAGTTTCCTGTTAGTTATTGTTGCGGTTCGATGGTGTTTGCTGAAGCAAATACAAACCTAAATAGGGTAATAGGGCAAGTATGCCATATGTGCTGGCCCCTGTCATACGGTATCTGTGGATATGTGTGAGTGTGCTGACACACACAGACTGAAATGTCACAAAAAAAAAAAAAAAAAAAACACCTGTTGGCAGGCGAAGAGCTTCCCTTGGTATTTGTTGATGATGGTGTAACCTGTGGACACGTTGCGATCCTCGTACCAAGCAACTGGACACAAGAAATCTCTTGGGTTGGCCAGACCATTGGCTCCTGCAAAACATATAATAACATAACCATAGACATACACACACAAAAAAATCCTTTGTAAACAAGACTACGGCTGTGTCACTCCCTTTGTACTACTGTACATAATGCAGTAAATGTAGTGTCCCCCGTTTCATTTAAAAGTCTGAATTCAAAGTATGAAATTTATTCTCTATATAGTGTCTTGCAAAATTCACACAATGCAATGAGCCACATTTCATAGATGCGAAAATGGTGCAACTCCACAGCTATCAGTGATGACACTAAATGATGATGATTAGTAAGTGTCCAAAAGCTCAGTTTACTGCGGTCTATTGAGTAAACTATTGATGGTCTATTATATAGGGAGTAGTGAATGAGTGAAGTGATTTCAGATACAGTCCACAGGCCACAGCCATGCTACTGGCTGTCAGGGTATACTTAGGCGTCAAACATATAATAATAATAATATGCTCAAGGTAAAAGGTTTACCATGTTCACCAGTTTAATTTACTTACTAGTTTAGTATATTAGCATGCTAAAGCTTTGGACAAATTAAATGAAAAGTCACACGGATCACCAAAGTGATTATAATTCATACTGAGAGGAATGTGAATGTGTACCAAATTCATGACAATCAATCCAGTAGTTGTTTTAGTCTAGACCAAAGCGGTGGACGAACAGATCAACATTGCCAGACATCACAAACATCATACGAACACACACCTATGGGTCCCAGGTCAGGGAGCTCAAAGTGGGCTCCATACACCTCCAGTATATAACCTCTGGTTTCTCCAAACACATCCACACTGAAACGCATCCCTTGCTGGAGAAAACACATGAGAAGTGGTGGTTAGGGAACTTCTGTGTTCATGGACTAATGTGTTTGGAAAAAAACACGTGTGTTGTCCTGGTGGTCAGGCTGTAGCTCAAAACTCTTTCTACTGTCATTTATTTTTAAGGTCACTTTGGAAAAGTACCAAACTATGTCTTTCTAAATATGGTAAGTGGGGTTTGGGGGCAGACACAATGGGAGATTTCTGTGAAAACTGGGGAGCTGAAAAACATAGAGCTCACCTGGATGACACAGATCTCGTTCGGCTCCACCATCATCTTCCCAAACTCTGTAGTGATCAAGATCTCACCCTGCTGGGGGACTGGCAAGACAAACAGACAAAGAGAGCAACAGAGAAAAGAAAATCTGAGAGAGAAGAAGGACAGAGGATTGAGCTATCATTGCTCCGGTGATAGATGACAGTGAAAACATCAACAGCCCTTTTCCTCACCGATCAGAAAGTCTCCATCTGAGTTGTTGAAGCACCTGAAACAGGAAAAAATTGAAGAGCTGAGAAATGATCAGCAAACCGTAATCAAAGATTTTTTTTCCTTTCCTGTTGATATGTGAAAATACATCTATTTGTTACGTGATGGGATAGATCTGCACACAAATACATACAGACCTGTCAACCATGGAAGTGTTGCAGGTGTACATATGGATGCCAATGCCATTGCGAGATTTGGCATCCCCTGCACCACAGACAGTATGCAGACCCTGCAAGATACGGATGGTGACAATCCCAATCAACTCACCATCTTTAATGAAACAATAACATGGGAAAAAGAGTTAAACTTACAGCTACAAAGTCCACTTTCTTCTCTGTAGATTTGGGAATGGTAAATGGCAGCCATCGCAGCTGTGAGAGAAACCTCAGAGTCAGAATCTACTTATTCAGTAAAGACAGATAATTTAAAGGAATGCATCTCCAAAGCATTAAAGGTCCTGAAAATATATTTTCTCAATTAGATTCTTACATTGAGCCATGAGATCCTACATGAGTACAAAACTGAAAAAATCTGACAAAATGAAAACTTTCAGGGTTTTTCATATGATACATTTTTCTACTTTTCTTTGCTTCGATAACTGGTTAGTTAGAAAAAGATGATACCATGATACCAAGTGTGCACTGATCAGAGTTTCAGTTGTGTTGCTCTTTGCTTATGTTGCCAGCACTGATAATCAGATTTGATCAAAAGACAACCACACTGTCCTCAACTTAGCATGCTAACCACCTAGCCCCGCCCTACCCGGACTGTCTTACCACTTTCCAATACCAAGTCACTGCAGCGTCCAGTCTACCCTGAAGAAATAGCACTACTCAGAGGGTGTATAACCTCTTGTCTTGTAAACAGAACAATGACTGTCTTGCCAAGACTGGTAAGTAAACAGCTGTCAATGCTAACAGGGGCTATATAGCAATTGCATAACTCACAAATAGCTCCTTTAAAGATATGGATTGAAATTTGTGAAATATTCATATTCACTTTCTTGCCAAGTTCGATGAGATCAAGATCAATACCACTCTCACATCTGTACCATATATGACGTTACCAGTGACACGCAGTTATTTAGCTTAGCATAAAGACTGGAAACAGAAGAACACAGCTAGCCTGACTCTGTCAAAAGATAGAAAAATCAACCTATTAGCACCTATAAAATTCACTAATTAACTTATTATATCTTTTTTTGTTAATTCCTTACAAAAACTAAGATAAGCAGTAATAGTATGCTGTTTTCCCATTCCCAGACTTTATTCTAAACTAAGCTAATATTTGGATCAATTTTCAGGGCCTTAAGCAAGATTCACAGTTTCACTAAATTGAAGTAAGGACTAGATGATCAGGAACTCTTCCTGTTCAGCCTTGATGTACCTGGTTAGGATCGGGCTCCACTTCATTCCAGTTCTCTGTTAGATTCCCACATGGTACTGCCGTAAAAGGCTTATGTTTGACGGATGGGAGGATGCGGTAGAGCCAGCTGAAGAAAGAAAACGGACCGATACAAAGTTATTCCTAATGTCAAAGATCCATTTGATCTATACAGGCTGATGTACATGTCAGAGAGAGATGGATACCTCCTCTTATTAGCTGGTCGTGGGCAGGTGAAAGCAGAGCCAGAGAGCTGCTCAGCATAGAGGCCATAGGGACAGACTTGAGGATTGTTCTACAGAAATATAATACACTGTGTTCAGACAGGATGTCAGTGTTATATACTGTGTGTTATGTATTGTGCAAGCACGGGATTGGAAGGCCTGTTTAAAGTTCTGAATAAATTCTGAGAGGTTTTGCATTTTTTCAGCTAATCACAATACAAGCATGTGGAAGTCTTAAGACATGGAGCATTGGTACGATTTGACTTTTGTGGACATCATCCAGGTTTTTCTTTTGCAGTTACATAAGGGTGGTTTGTCAAATAATGATGAAAGTGTCAATAGATGTGAGGAAGGAAAAGGCAAGCTGGAGTTGACTATGTGCCTTTTAGGATCAGATTTTTGTATTTTCCTATGAAACATGGAGGAGTCACACCAGCTTTTGGTTGGTTAAACCCATCCTAACTCCTATGGTGCCGCATTAAGTATTCATGCAATTCACTTAAGCACAAAATCAATGAATAAATGATCAAATTAATGCCAAAATGAGCCCTGAGTGTGCTTTTGTGTGTGAGCTACCTGTCCCTCAGGTAATGATCCGGGACAGCGAGGGTCTTCAGAGGAGAACTCATTGCCAAAACCACTCATGTACTGAAACAAGCAGACAGACAAACATTTAACATCCAAGGGAAGTTAAAGTGAAAAATAAAAAATACACCATGCAGCTTCATTGTAATGCAGGATAAATGTGTTCATGCTGGTTATAATTAAATTTGAAGGCTTGTCATTAAGGCTTGTCTTTCTGTTAATTGTTGTCATATTGATTCACATTAGATCTATGATAAAACAAACTGCAGTTATGCCAGATTTCCCCCCTTGCAGTCATCCATTATTTTTGTGTTATTGTGTTATAGAAACAGACTAATTACACTAACATCCTCCACAGTACATTTTGATCAACACTTTTTCTTCACAGTTATGAGAAGATTATTATTCCGCTATCCTCCTTTGGTTGTATCGATCACCAGCACTTAATGTCTTCCCTACCACTGAAAAGCATGAACTTAGTACAAGGTAAATAAATCTTGCTGAGTCATTGTTAGTCTGCAAAAAGCACACTGACAGACATGGATGGTTTCCATATGTGCGTGTTCATGTGTCTAAAGTGCCTGGGTGAAAACATTCTGGAAGCTCCAGTGTGTCCCTTATGAGAGAATGTTATGTAAAGGATTTTGTTCAACTTGCACTTTCATTTCGAGTTATAGTCCAGCACAACTTTTATATTACATGGATAATGTATTAAATATTAAGTCATTTCAGTTTATTCTTATAATGATTTTTGAGAGAAATCTCAGAAAGAACTGAAACAATTCCAGTGTTCTAGCTTTTGGACATAATCATCACTTTCTTTAAGGTTGAATACAACAAATTACTCAACTGGTGTAATTGAAATGATACTTGAGTAATGGTTTCCACCATAAAACCAAATAAAACAAAAAACACTGTGAAACCAGGACTGGAATAAATGGTTTGGGGGCTGTAATGGTTACAACACATGAGAATAATACTTATTTTATTGTAATGATAAACGTAAAAGGTTTTCAAGTTTGTTCTATTGAAAAGAATCTTTCCCACTTAAATATGTTAGTGCTGGTGTTGAGGCATCTCAGACCACATCTGGGCAGCTGCTGAATGCAGCACTCTGATTGGTCGGAGGGAACGCCTCCCTTCAGTCAGCCGGTCTACTTCTGTTAGTTATGATGGCTAATACACGGTTTAATTTTTGCACATCTATCTGGTGCAAGATATCATAAGCTGAAGTTCACATTTTCCTTTATTTATAATATCATGGAACTGATGCATGTTTGTTAGTGATACATCTATACAACTATAGTGAAACTTACTGGGTTTGCGCAGTCTAAGCACTGGTGAATGAGTATTTCCAATAGCAGAAGTAGTTTTGGAGAAAGAAAAATGCTGCCTTACCTTGAGTCCAGCCATTGCGCTGTCTGTTAATTTTTTTCTCGCAGCTGTTTAAAGTTAGAAAGTAATTTGCAGCTATTGTCTAACTCTTAATGCATTGCCCTCGACCAAAGTCCACTGCTTCAACCGTGCATGCCGGTATGGACAGAGTGAAAAGGGGGGTTGGATTTATACGCTTCCTCAGTATGGTTTTAATTAAGCATTGACAGGCTCTGTGACGCAGCAGCGGGGTCTCTGGCAAAGGGGAGAGGACGGATTGGATGAGCGGAAAGGTGCGCAAACAAGGACCAGTGTCACAGCCAAAACAAACAAGAACGAAGACTTGGACATTTTAAAGTTTTAAGTGAAACAGACAGATAACATATATGAAAAAGACATATTCAATAGGCATACATGAAGCAAAGCTAGCACTTCATAGGAAATGCTTTGTCAGGTTACAAACAACTGTAATCCTGAAATGACAAACAAAACTATAGGCCTACTAAGCACTAGATTGTCATAAACTCATTGTAGCTATTGTCAAACATATTAAAACATTATAAGACCTATGTAGGATATAGTGAAGTAAAATTAACAGAGTATGGTAACAGACACAATGTCTGCTATAGTGACAATATTGGCATTCATCGCAGCTAAATTGTGGTGACCTCATGTGGGACTGCTTGTGCAAATAATTGTGCCATGCACATCCTCACGTCCTGCAAAAACAAACATTAAGGCAAAAAAAGAAAAAAAGCCTATTGAATAGAGCCTTTAATGTCCCAAATTGGCTATGGCCTACATTTATTGATTTAATGTTTATTCTGAAGTAAAATCTCTACATGGCAAACGTGGCATCAAGATGAACGGATGATCCTTAATTCTGCCAGGCTTAACACGCGTTTCATTTAAAGTGAGCTATCATTCTTCTTCAGCTGCATTATTAATTGGTTTTTCTTAAAACCAGCATAATACACGGGCTAACCTCTGCATTCTGCAGCGAGCAGTTCACTCTTGATGTGTACAACAGCAAAGGCCTCCAAAAAGCTCTATACATTACTTTAAGCAAAATTTATTCTGTTCATTTCTTGAAATAGATGGTCAAACGATGGGTACCTAATGTCCCCCATGCAGCATGTATCAAAAAGAATCAATTTCGCCTTTCTCATTCTTGCCTCGCTTCCCCTCTTGTCTATTTCTTTCTTTTTGGGAGGTGTTGGGGAAGGGTAAATGATGGCAATTCTCATAGCGAGGCGCAAATAAACTCGCCGCGGCAGAAGTAACTGTTCTCCGGCGAGGCGTGCAGTCAGGCCCGGGCCCCCCGCTGACAGGCAGTCAGGGTGCTGTGCCAAAGACGAGAAAGCCCAGTGGCAGGAAAATATCACGTCCCAGTCTCCGGAAATTGATCTGCTCCTTGTATGGAGAAAGAAAATGAGTGATTTTAATTTCATCCCCGAGTCTGATGATAGAATTCTAGAGTATTTGGGTCCAATCCGGATGTGTGTTTTAAGAAAGGCAGGAATAGCTGGAGACGACAGAGAGGAAACTGTTGTTGCCTACTGACAGTTATATCTATGCATGCGTAAGTGGGCCATAAATGCTTTGTTATTAGATGCCTGCTGAACTCAATGGCTTGATGGTAAATGGTACACTCACCTGGCAGAGTCTATCCCCATATGCATAAACAGGCAATCTCTCTCTCTCTCTCTCTCTCTCTTACACACACACACATACATACATACACACACACACACACACACATATACATACATACATATATATACACACACACACACACACACACACACACACACACACACACACACACACACACACAAAAGACTATTCTGTGATATATGTGATGACATCTTTAGTCTTTCATTGCAGGTGGTGCCCATACTTTCACATACATGCAATATATGTGCTACTTTTCTGCCCCCTAATCCTATATCTTGACCTTTAAAGTGTCAATAATTTTGTACATGCCCCCACAGTCCTGAGGTCTCACCAGGTACAATAATTAAAATCCCCTGTGTGGGTTTACCATGGGTGTGTAGACCCTTCGACATTACCAACACAATGGTATTATATCTTAACAAGCAAGTATTGAGGCTTCCAGCACACACTGTAGCCTTTGCAAGGCCATACAAACAGTATACTTTACAATATGTATCCTTTATATAGTCCAGAATTCATTCACGGTCTTCTAAACAATGATCAAACCTTGAACAACAGTTACAGTAATTTAAAAAATGCTCCTGCCAGAGCCTAAGCAGTGCACTGCATCTGCCAAATCTGCCACATATAGACTGCTACATTCATACTGGTAGTTATATATGGATCAAGTGTACTTCTGATTAAATTAATCAGGTAGTAGCAAGTAGCAGCAACTAATTAGTGTGTGCTTACACACTTTCCTGCTCATGTTTCTCTACAGTAATGAGATTCTCTTGTCTCCTCTTTATTCTTCTCTGAGCGGAGGGAAATGCAGCTGTCGGATGTACTCTTTTAGACGCAAAGCAAAACAAAACACCCCACCAGTACAGTATAGATGGATACTGCACCTACACACAACATGAAATTGAGCCTTTTGTTAGTCTGCTGATATCACACAAAAGTCCACCATCATTGCAAACCACATCAGCAATTTAAAAAATGGTAGCGATGTGATTTGTTCTGATTGGCTACTTCTTTGTGTTCTGTAGAGCTGCTATAACTATGTACAATTTGCTTAAAACGTTAAGAAAAAAACCCTCAAAATATTAAAACTTAACTTTGTGAAGGACATAAGTGCACACAACCTCTGAATTGTTACCACCTGGCCTCATCTTGTGTATCACTGGTAGGTAACTGCTGTATTTGGATGTCACATCTAACAAGAAATAGCTTGGATTCTTGTATTTTGTAATTACAGCCCTGTTACACACTATTGCAATTTAATGTTAAATGACTCCTGACATGAGCCATCCAGTACCACACATAGACATACACACACATCTGACAGCTCCATTTAACGCTGATTAGATTTGCAAGGACATGTAGTATACCCTCTCTGTGTCTCCTGTGCCTACTCTCTCGCTGTCTCTCCCTGAGTAGGTTGAGTATCTCCTGAATCCTATCTATCGCGGTAATGTTATGCAAATGGTTTAATATGAAGATAAAAGACTGTTGCAGCGTGTGGCGCTCTCCTGGTTCACAGCCTCGTGTTTCCAGGACGATAGCTCTAACGAGGAGGGCACTATTTGGGAGTCATTAAATGATGGCCTTCCTGACATGCACCCGCTCACCACCACCGCCACCCGCCCCGCGTTGGCCATTAAAGCGGCTCACACCCACACCAAGACACACACTACAGACGCCTTTTAGCGCCAGCTCCCAGTTTCTTACACATCACAGTGTCACAGAATAGAAAATTACACTCTCCTCCCACAGAGAAAATTGCTTTGGAATTGCTTGGTTATAAAGATGTGCTTTAAAGAGAGGGGGGTGCATGCAATAAAAAAGGACACACACAAACACAATTACTTAAGCACTCTAAGGACAATTCTTACAAGTTAATCAGAGGATTTACCAATTATTGATGTCAAAAGGATTTTGTTGCGTATCTGTTTGTGGCCTGTGTTTATGTACCGAGTGTGTTTGTCTTTGCATTCAATGTATTTAGTATGTATTTTTCTCCGTTATAGTGTATATGTGCTGAATAATTGCAGAGCATATACTATGCACATGAACAGCAATCTCCAAATGAGTCGTTGCATTCTACACAGCCCCAAATGAAACAAGGCATGAAAGTAGCCGCAAACAGTCGAGCTGATGAAGGGAAAATATAATGTGTTGCACCATAGCAGAGACACAAGTGGAGGATTGAACACAACAAGGTGAAAGGTGTATCAGCATCAAGAGACAAGAGAGGCGTGACAGAGATGAAAGGGAGAAAATACAAAGTGGAAAATAGCAGAGAAGACAGAAAGAAGCAGAGAAAAGGCAGAAGATTGTACAGCAAAGATAGGCCGGAGTGGACAAGGAAGGAGATGAGTGGATGAACACCAATGATGCATGATGAGACATGACTTAGTAGGTTCAAGAGAGCAAAATGACACCTAGAGCAGAGGAGATTACATGAAGAGAATGGATGTTTAGAGCTCTGTACTAGCCAACAAAGTCAAAACACAGTTAGTTGATCAAAGTTAAAACTGGAATCTGTTTTTGGTGACATCTGTTGAACCATACAAAAATTATTATGTGACAGAAATAATCATTTTAGTTTTATTTAATTTAAAAACTTGTCACTACAAAAGTAAGCAAAAAACTGTTGTAACTGCACACCGTTAGCCAACAAGACAAGACAAGCTAGTGTAAGCTAGCTAGTGAGATGGCCATGGCTAGGCTTAGCTAAAGCTAAACAAAATTTACTTGTTGTTTTTTTTTTCCTAGATTTTGCTGAAAAACATGTTTGATGAACCAACATCTTGGTTATTTAGTTGTTTCACATAACTAAATTCAGTATTTAAGCCCAATAATGATACAAAAATAAAAACCTAATGTTAGCTAAACTCCTTGTAAAGCTAACTAGCTCAATAGCAGTCTAACAGAAACTATCATTAGATTTTAAATACAACATTATCCACAGAATAGTTCATGGGATTTGATGCTTACAGCTACCTCATAATCAAATAAATGTACTGAATTGTAGATTTACTAAATTGAGTTCAGTATAGTTTTCAGTAAAGTGGACGGACAGGTAGCCACTTTGCAAAACAAAGATTGGCTACATTTAATTCCAAGGAACTGCAAATAATCAAAACCCTATTTATTTTGTTAAAGTCAAAATGGAAAAGAAAGCAATAGAATCCATGTTGTTGGTAGCTACTGCATTTCCCCTATGGTCCAATATAAACATCACCAAAAGGCAAAGTGCATCTGCATTTTTTATGTATTTTCCAGGTTGTATGGCAATGATTTTTGAGTGAAATAATCAGCCTAAAAAGGCATAGAATACAGTGTCACAGATATAGTTTTCCAGCCAGCCTGATAACTTAAAAACATGTTTTCTCTACTTCTCTATAGGCTACTGCTCTCTGCCTTTGTAGGGCAGAGTAGGTCATTCACTTTTCTTGCTAAGTGCCAACATAACATAATCTATTTTGAAAGATGAAGCTTCCGCTATCTG